CCACCCCTTTCCCCAGCCCCGTCAGGAACCTGAAGGTCACTTGGTGGGAATCATGAAGGCGAGGCTGGAAAAGCCGTCTAGGCAATTCGCTGCATTGCGATACGCAAAGTAAAAAGAATAAAGAATTTATACCTTCTAGAAACTAGAGAGAAATGCCATCGTTCAAATAATATTGTTCTTCAACAGAATCTAAGGGTTTTATTAGAGAGAAGAGGGTTCCACCATATGGTAACCATCAAACCAAGCTCGGCCTCCAAGGCACTTCCCATCCTGGCCCCTCTGGAGGGCAGGAGGACCTGCCCCTGTGGGTTTCCAAGACTGTCACTTTTTACAGGAGTAGAAAACCTCATCTTTCTCCTGTGGAGCGGCTGGTGGCTTTCAACCACTGACTGTGAGGCCAGCAACCTAACACGTAACCACACGCCACTAGGGATCCACTGACCACGACACCACCACATAGTCCACACACAGCTTTAGTGCCCATCAACAGTCTGGAAAGCCAAATGTGAAGGATCACATTCAAACCTTAACCCAAAAAGTGTATGGACTAATAAAGATAAAAAGAATCTTTCTGGCTCTCTATAGAGATCACCATGAAACTATTGAGATGCACAAAAAAGATTATATTCAAATCACCAGGTATGTTTCTGAATAAAAATATTCAATATAAAGATACTGTTCTCCGATTTTTCTTTCTTTTTACTGTACAAAGTTGTAACCACAACAAAAATGGATTTATTTTTTGAACTTGAAAACGTTGCATGTTCAGGAGAACAAAAGAGGGAGCTTTTTGATAAAGCTACAGTCATTAAAACAGCTTTCTAATGACCCCAAAATATACAGACAGACCAGCGAAACAGCGATCCAGGAGCCACCATGAACGTGTCTGTATAAAAGGACAGCAGACTACCAAAGTGGCAATGGACACTGGGGGAGGGGCGGTTGGTTCCCAGATGGCTATAGGAAGAGCCGAGATTTATCCAGCACCTGCTGTGTGCTAGCATTTGTACATGGAAACAGAGCAGAATCGCTGGTGCGTCTTGACGGCCAAGGCTTTTCTAAGCACAAAAGCAAAGGAAGAGTCTTATGTCGTTGCTCTTGGCCTTCAAGTCGTAGCAGTTCCCTTTGGCAGAAAGTGTCATAAACAAAACTAAGAAACGACAAATCAGAGCCAGTATTTGTCAGGTCACGGATTGATGTGAATTACATCTCTAGAGGGGTAGGCAGGCGCCCCGGTGCCAAAGCAGTGAAGCCTTGAAACCACCCGCTGCAAGGGAGTAGAAAGCCTCGTTTGGACACAGCAAGAGTTCACTAACTTTTTTAAATGGATATAGTTTCTAGTTGGGTGCTTATCTCTTTAAAATTAGGATTTTATCAACTCTCTCTCTATAAAACCCCCAAATCACTGCCATCGAGTCAATTCTGACTCATAGCGACCCTGTAGGACAAGTTAGTAAATTCTTGCTGTACGCCGAGCACACTTCTAGGTGCTACAGATACAACAGGGATCAAAACATAGCTCTCCCTGCCCTCGGGGAGCGTATGTTCCAATGGACACGAAAAGGCAAATCATTTTTAAAAGGAAGCAAAATGACCAGTACACCTATGAAAGCATGTTTACCCTCCTTCGTAAGGATTTTGCATCTGCCACATTGGCAATGATGCTTCAGAAACCCAAATCCCCAGTATTGTGACCTGTCAGGGAACCGGGCACTCTAATAAACAGCTACAGCGAGTGGTAACTAGCACTGTGTGTGAAAAATCGTTTAAGCTGTTTTCACTTTCGGACGGAGGAAATTCATTTAGAGAAGTTTATAATAGTAAAAGAATCCGATCGGTATAAACAGTTATGTTTAAGAATGTTTGATCCATCATTGTAACACACACAGAAAATGGGAATGACCAATTAAATGAACTGTGCAAAGACCCGAGTCAGAAAACCGAAAGGATTCCATCTTGCGTGGATCCCCAGCCAAGACTCATGAGAACAAGTCA